ATAAGGTAGATAAATACTAAGTTGTATATACAAATATTTATGGTATATTCTCCTGCTCTTCGATAAGGAGCAAAGGAATATGCCGTGATGTGAATTCGGCTTTTGTAAACTGATTTGGAAATCCTTACCTCTGCAGCCAAGGCAATTCTAGCATCCGAGCACCTTGTTGGTCTGTTCCTTTACACAAGGCCTCCCGCCACCAAGGGATGTCTGAGGAATTGTACTTGGTTTAGTAATGATACAGACTGCAGGGAAATAAAAACTTATGACAAAAGATATAACATCCATAATGAAAGGTAATATTCAATGTCTAAGTGATTGTGTATTCTTTTCTGTTATTCATCGTAGACAATGAAGTTGAGTAAATTGAACTGAAGTAGCTTATCCCCCAAAAACTAAAATCGAAAAACGTCCTTAGACACGTCCATGCGTTCCTCACTATGACAAGCTGCTTCACTATCGTCTTTCATTAATATCATAACTTGATACCCATTGATGTATCAGAATTACTTCAAGCGCGGGTAAATATGTTAGTGTAGAGATATGATTCATGTACATAAAAGCATAAGTTTAAATCAGTGCATTCGGTATAACGTTTTATAACTTTGAGCATCAAACATACTTACTTTGAGTGTCTGAGGGCTCTGACATGACATTCGATCGGAAGGAATGATCGGATATTTGTAGATTCATGAAGTAGTAAGTCACCATAGCATACGCCATGGTCGTCATGAGGATGTACCCGAGACAGCGCTTCATCCTGTCGGATCCCTGGGGAGTATAAGGCTAGTTATTTCCACTGGCATCAACATATACCTGGCGCAGGCACAATTTCACGAAACGTGGGCGCGCACAGAGGCAAGAACACTTATACGCCATAACACTCACGCACACAATATGGATATTGTGTAGCATCTTGATTTGTGAAGGAGTTTGTCCTCAGTCGTGATTTTTGCACTATTTTCATAATGTTCACGTGTGTGTGTGTGTGTGTGAATGTGTGTGTGTGTGTGTGTGTGTGGTTTTAAATGTAGATGCTACTGGTGATGAAATGCAGCCACACTAGGAAAGAAATACTAAAAAACGATGCTTCGAGTTAAGGCAGACCCTAACTCCCACCAGTGATAGAATTAAAGTGAATCATTTTCGCTTCGCCACGATTTGACATCTCTTATTGATGGGTTCCATTTGTTTGTTCATATTTGTGGCCATTAACGTGCGACTGCATCATTTTTAGTGTATGCTTATTATGCGCCCGCACGAACAATTAGGCTGCGTCCACACCAGTGACAAAACACGCTGGGAACGTTAAGGGCGTCTTCTGTAGCGTCCTTAACTCTTAATACCGTATTTAGTTTAATCCTAATCCACCGTGTCCGTACCGAAGATGACACTCTCCGCTGCCAGACGGCGTGACAATAATGTTCAGAATAAAATGTCGTACTCACTATTCTATCACCACCGTTTTCATGTAAACATGTCGGAGAGAAGAGAAATGTCGCGCGCGAAATTCGCTCTTTTGGGAGATTTCATGTTTTTTTTTCTTTCTTTCTTTTTGCAATGTCATGTTTTTGGTAATCATATTTACGAAACTATTTTAGACATCTCAGGTTTCAAAATATCTATTATATTCAATGTGTATTTCATGAAACTGAGACTCTTACTAATGTTTTCTGAAGACCACCTTTTCCTTCCCTTCACAATAAGACTAGCATCATATCAAAGTAAGAAAGTTCGTACCTCTATTTTCTGTACACATTTCTTCAAGATTATCTGTTTCAAATATGATTCGTTCGGAATCTTAAATTAATGGACTGTCTCTTTAAATTTCTATCAATTCTTGTTATGTTCCTGGTCTGTGATATAGTGATGGTTCTGCTCACTGTTGTTGATGTGAAGATCCTGGTCTCGTATTTCTGGGCGTGTGGGAATAGGTTTTGCAAATCTGAAGGGTGGGAGCTGAGGTATGTTGTCTTGTTATTGCTGAACAATCTGTGGTATTTTGAAACATTTCTGTGCAATGTTCTTTTCGCACATAACTGTTGTATGTTGTGTAGGGTAGCGTTTGGAGCAAGTCATGCACTCATACCTGTAAATAAGCAACAAAATCATCCAAAAGATATCTAATCAACATTCACCCTTCATGTCCCTACGCATATGGTATAGAAGACAGTATTAAAGATATTAACTAAAGATTTGCAGTCCGATATGGAATTTTCTTGGATAAATAAACCTTGCAATTTGCATTCAGACATTGCATTGTTATTTTTTTGTCTGACAACTGTTATTCATTTTTTTTTAGATTGGAGAAAAGGTGACTGTTATAGAAAGTTGTGGTCAGTCACTCAAGATGCAGTTTGATCTTCAAATGATAATTACGAGGCACAAGTAGGCTTACTTATAATGGAAACATGATTATTTATGAAATATTCTATTTTTTCATGATAACGATCTTATATTTATAGTAGTAAAATGGGTAACGAAACTGCTCTAACAACAA